AGAGAGAGAGAGAGAGAGAGAGACAGAGAGAGACAGAGAGAGAGAGAGAGAGAGTCAAATAACTAAACTATTTGGGCACTTTTTATCTTATTCTTCTGTTTTCTCTATTTTGCTTTTTCCAAGCTTGTTTGTTTGTTTGTTTTGTTTTGAGGTGGGATCTCATGTAGCCCAGCCTGGCCCTCAAACTCACTGTATAGTTTAGAATAACCTTAACCTCCCGAGCCTCCTGCCTCCACCTCCCAATAATACTCAGATTACAAGTATGCATCTGATTTTCCCAAGCACTTTAATTTTCTACACCCGCCATTGTCACATTGGTGACTTTTTTTTAATGGTCACTAACAGCTGTCAAAGCCATTCACAGCCCTGTAACACCCTGCTCCCATTAATTATAAACCTATTTCTTCCCACCCCTCCCCCCCCAAGTCAAGCCCTCTTTAAATTTTGGTCAGTTGTGCCTGGCTGAATCTGGATTGATTCATAACCCAATCCCTGTTTTTGCCTCGAGATTCTCCTCCGCAACACCCACAAATATGATTCCCGCTCCTTGGGAGGGAGAACCTCATACACAGGTCAGCTAGGCTATCCCTGGCCTAGAGTAATCTCTCAGCTAAGGTGGATTGGAGAGTCACCTTAAAGGTTGCTGTGACCTTTAAAGAAACAGTTGGACTAAGGGTGAAATACAATATCCAACACGTAATAACCTTGTAAATTTTAATATATATAAAAATGTTAGTTGGAGATTGGCTCTCACTGTGTATGTAGCCCTGGTTGGCCTGAGACTCGCAGGGATCTACTTTCTCTGCGTTTGGGGCACTGGGACTAAAAGCGTGTGCCACGACAACCCACCACACTGGCAGGTTTCTATTTATTACTGTTGTCGTTACTTCACATGTCCCTGGTCTAGAACTGACCTATGAGTATCTTACTTAAACCTGTCCGGCTAAACCACATTTACATTGTATAAAGTTTGCTTTAAAGGTCACATTTCATCCAACTCAGTGACATTGACAGACACTTTGATAGTGAATTAAAATGAATGGATGACTATGTTACTTAGTGTACAAGGTTTGTAACTGGTTTAATTGTTTCAGACTATAAGCTTCAAGTCTGTGGCCATGCACTCTGCACAGGCCAGATCTTGTCAGATTGTAAACTTATCTGAACCCTAGAAAGCAGAGTACCAAGATATACTTCCTGAAGCTGGTATAGTCTAAAATAGCAACTGGAGGGGGCGTGGCTAGAGAGATGGTTCTAGGCTAAGAACACTGGCTGCTCTTCCAGAGGACCCAGGTTCAAGTCCCAGCACCCACATGGCTGCTCAAAACTGCCTGGAACTCGAGTTCCAGAAGATCCAATGCCTTCTTCGACCCTCTGTGGGGACCAGGTATACACCTGGTAAACACAGGTACGCACAAGCAAAACACTCATACACATAAAATAAAGAAGAATAGCAACTGGTCCCAATCCTGGTTATACTTTACCCTCCATGTTTAGCAGAAAATGAAAACAAAAAATGTTCAATATATGGCCAGTTCCTCAAAGTCCTGCTTAAAAATAAGCAAAATGTTATTTTCCAACTTTGCTCCCTCCCTTTGTTAGGGGTATGTAGTAGTACATTTAATAATTTTGAGGTGAAAAGAATCTAATAAAACAAAGCGTCTTGCTATGCCAATATTGTAAGCGTAACCGACTCTGACAACAACCCGGTCCCTGAGAACCACCCCCAACCCCTCCCATGCACTCCCCCGCCCCCATTCTTCTCAGGGCTTGGCACTCTGGAGAGATGGGCGCCCATACCTGCTTTGCTGCTGATACGATCGCTCCTTCCAGAAGATCCAGATTCTGATTCATTAATGCCAGTGCCTCACTGGGAGACACGGGTAAGAGGGTGTTGCTAGGCAGGATCACGGCATGCTCGTAAACAGCTGCAACAAAAGTGTCCAGAGAGCTGATTTTTAAGACACAGAAGACAGAAAACGCGGCACAAGCCAGCCACCGAGACGCACTCATGCTGAAGTCCAAAGACTGCTGAAAAACCAAAGCGTGGCTTGCTGTTTATGTAAAGAAAGCACGGGTCACGTGTTTCCCAGACCTTGGAATCTTCAAAATAAACTTAAAAGGTTAACTGTAAGAAAACTTTGTCCCCGAAAGCAACAGTTCCAGAAATGTCCTTGGTTCTGTAGTCAGGAATGCCGGAAGGGAACTGTGGTTACTTATCTTCTTCTAAGCGAGCCCCACCCAGTGCCTGGAAGTCACACGTGAGGGTGGCTGGGACTGGAGCTCCAGTCCCTGTGGTTAGTCCCTTTTGGTGAAAAGCTTTGGAACTGTATCTAAATTTGCAGGGTAAACGTGGCTTATATCCATCTCTCAATTTCAGCCTGTCTCCAAAATAGCTTTAGAATTAGCCCTTCAGAGGGGGGTATCACAGTAGCTTTGATCAGAGCTCTGTGGAAGCCAGTTAGGGAGAGCTATTCCTGTGACGGGGTGGATACCTAACATTCCAAGCAACCCAGGACCTAAGAGTTAATCCAACTTGGTGTGTTGGATTAACTTCACCTAGCCAAAGGACCTAATCCTTCACCTAGCCAAAGGACCACCCCTCAGGAAGGCGGATTCACTTTAAGCCAAGCTAAAGAGACAGAAAGAATAACCGTCCCTTCAAGAAATAAAGTGCTGAGTGCCTGTACCCTAGGGCAGTTACTCCAAAGGCATCTGGAAGTTCTGTTCACTAAGCCTGTCTTTCTGACTCAAAAAGGTGTGGCTTTCTCCTCTCTCTCTCTCTCTCTCTCTCTCTCTCTCTCTCTCTCTCTCTCTCTCCCTTTCTTTCTTCTTTCCTTCCTTACTTTCTTTTCTTCTTTCTTTCTTTCTTTCTTGCTTGCTTCCTTGTTTTCCTTCTTCTTCGTTCTGCTCTTTCTTTCAGATGCTGGCCAGAGCCAAGGCTGCTTGCTCAAATTTTGGCCAACCTCCAAGCCTAACTCAAACAGCCTAGCTCTGACTCTTTTTCCTCTGGGCAGCTTCTGAGATTTACAGTTTGCCTGCCCTGGGGTTTTCTTGAATCTCAAATACAATTGTCTTTAAGTTGTTGTTTGGGGGTAAAGGTAAAGAAAACATTGTCAAACCAAGTATAGTGGCACACACCTTTAATCCCAGCACTCAGTAGGCAGGGGTAGGGTATATCTCAGAGAGTTCAAGACCAGGCTGGTCTACATAGTGAGTTCCAGTGAAGCCAGAGCTACATAGTGAGACTCTGTCTACAAAAACAAGAAAGAAAGAAAGAAAGAAAGAAAGAAAGAAAGAAAGAAAGAGAGAGAGAGAGAGAGAGAGAGAGAGAGAGAGAGAGAGAGAGAGAGAAAGAAAGAAAGAAAGAAAGAAAGAAAGAAAGAAAGAAAGA